GTACGACCCACTGCAGTGAAACTCTACGGTGCCGGCGGACAGCCACTGGAGGTGTTGGGAAAGGTTCAAGCCACCCTAAGCTGTGGAAACAACAGCGTCCGAGATGAGATGTATGTTATCCAAGGGCTGGAAGAACCTCTGCTGGGCCGTCGGGCGAGTACGGGTCTAAAGATTGTACAGCTGCTGCAAGCGGTTACAGCAGACCCAGGTGCCAAGTACAAAGAAAAGTTCCCAGGAATGTTCAAGGGTCTCGGGGAAATGAAAGGTGACTACCTCATCAAGCTCGAGGCAGGTGCAAGCCCAGTGTCAGTAAACACGTCACGGAGAGTGCCCTTGGCTTTGTTGGATAAGGTCAAGGCTCAGCTGACGGAGATGGAGAAAGACGGCATTATTAGGAAAGTCGTAGAGCCGACTCCCTGGTGCTCAGCTATGGTGGTGATCCCCAAATCAAGTGGGGAAGTCAGGATTTGTGTTGACCTGACAAACCTGAACAAGTGCATCGAAAGGGAGAAGCTTGTGCTCCCGTCGGTAGAAGAAACACTGGGGCGTCTCGCTGGCGCTAAGGTTTTTTCGAAGTTGGATGCCAAAGCGGGTTTCTGGCAAGTGAAATTAGCTGAAGACTCACAGCTGCTCACAACTTTTATAACCCCTTTTGGCAGGTTCTGTTTCCAAAGGCTCCCCTTTGGCATCTCCTCGGCGCCTGAGCACTTCCAAAGACGTATGAATCAAGTTCTTGAGGCGATACCTGGAGTGTTGTGTCACATGGATGACATTTTGATAACGGGAAGAGATCTCAAAGAACACGACGAGAGGCTGGAGGAGGTCCTTTCGAGACTGAATGCTGCGGGAATCACACTTAACGACAAGTGCGAGTTCGCAAAAACATCTTTGAAGTTCTTGGGACACATCCTGAGTGCGGAAGGGATCCAGCCAGACCCCGAAAGAGTGAAGGCAATCATGGACTTCCGGGCACCGGACACCGTTACTAAAGTTCGTCAGTTTATCGGCATGGCTAACCAGGTTGGACGGTTTATACCCAACTTGTCGGAGAAGCTAAAACCCATTCGAGATCTTCTCAGAAAGGACGCAGAATGGAACTGGGACGCCCAGCAGCAAGGAGCATTCGACCAGGTGAAGCGAGACATCACGGAAGCTACAACGCTGACACTCTATGATCCCCGACAGCAGCTGATAGTGTCGGCAGACGCCTCGGCGTATGGGCTAGGCGCAGTGCTGTTGCAGAAGGATCGACAAGGACTGGTGAGCCCGGTCGCTTTTGCATCCAAAGGACTGAGTGAGACGGAAGGAAGGTACGCGCAAATAGAAAAGGAGGCTTATGCGGTCACTTGGGCATGCGAACGCTTTGAAAAGTTCCTGATAGGAACCAAGTTTCATGTGCAAACGGACCACAAACCCCTAATTGCGTTATTGGGTGACCGAGAGTTGAATACCATTCCTGCAAGAATCCAGAGGTTCAAGCTCAGACTCATGCGTTTCTGCTACTCCATAGAACATGTACCCGGGAAGGATTTATGGACGGCAGATGCTCTCTCGAGATCCCCAGTAGAGCCCCCTGAGAAGATGGAAGAGGAGTTAGAGGCGTACGTCCAGCTTGTGACAAGCTTCCTGCCAGCTACGAGTCACTATCTGGACGAAATACGCACTGCTCAGAGTCAAGATCCTGTATGTTGCAAGTTAAGAGAGTACTGTGCAAAGGGCTGGCCCCACAAGACGGACATCCCACCTGAGATTGCTCCTTACTTCAGGAATAAAGACAGCCTCACGGTACAGAGCGATCTCCTCGTGAAAGACAATCGGATAGTAATCCCGAAGTTATTGAGAGAGAAAGTGCTGTGCCAATTACATGCAGGGCACCAAGGAGTGTCCAAGTGCAGAGAACGAGCAAGAATGTCAGTGTGGTGGCCAGGACTCAGCACTCAGTTGCAAGAAGTGGTTACCAACTGCACAAGCTGCATCCAAGAGCGCATCCCAAAAGTGGAACCTATGATAGCATCGGAGCTCCCCGACTATCCATGGCAACGTGTTGCAGCCGACCTCTTTGAATTGAACGGCAAGCACTACCTTGTAGTTGTAGATTACTACTCCAGATTTATAGAAGTGTGTCTGCTGAAGCAAACAACATCGGAAGCGATTGTGGCGGACCTAAAGTCTGTGTTTGCCCGCCATGGGATACCGGAGGTCTTCAGGTCAGACAACGGACCGCAGTTCGCGTCCAAGAGTTTTGACGAATTCACAAGAAAGTACCAGATTCGCCACATAAAAAGCAGCCCACACTATCCCAAGAGTAACGGGGAAGCAGAACGCATGGTAAAAGTTGCCAAAGACATCCTGAAAAAGGCCGAAGACCCAGAGCTGGCACTTTTGATCTACAGAACTACACCAGGCCCCTGCGGATATAGTCCAACTCAACTACTCATGGGACGGCAACTACGTACAACTTTGCCCATGTTGCCATCCATGTTAACCCCTAAAATGCCAAACCACGCGGATTTCCGAAGAAAAGATAAGGAAGAGAAAAGAAGGCAGGCCCAAGGATACAATCAACGGCACGGAGTAAGCTGCCACAAGGAGCCGTCCATCAGTGGCTCTGTTTGGGTCAGAGACCCTGGCACGCCGGGGCAGATTGTGAGGAAAACGAACAACCCTAGATCCTTCGTGGTGGAGACACCGTCTAGACAACTCGTCCGGAATACCTACCATTTAGTCCCAGCACAAACACCGAGAAAGAGTGCTCAAACCGGATACAATGGAGACGAAGAAACGATATGCGAACAAGTGATCAATCCAGGCGAGAATGTCCAGACCCCGTGCGTTAAGGACAAAGAACCGACATCGGAACAGGTACTCGACCCAGAGGGAGGTCCACCTATGGCTCTCGGTCCGGAAAAATCTACTCCGACATCGGAACAGGTACTTGATCCAGAGGGAGGTCCAGCTCCGGCTCTCGCTCCGGAAGAATCTGTCGTCGACTCCGGCACAAGGGAAGAGGAGCCCTACACTCTCACTAGAGCTGGGCGACGAATCATTCGGCCGCAGAGATTCAGAAACTAGTTTCAAGCCCATTGTAGAGAAAGGAGGATGTGGTAATAATCAGGTTTATGCGTTTCAATAAAACCCCGAGAGGGGGCAGCCAGTTGGGGGCGCGTGCTTAACCCAGCTCGCTGGTGCTGTTCTGTCTCTCTCTGTGTGGTCAATCCGAATTATCACGACAGTTTGGGCGATACTATTTGTGTTTTAAAAGAAAGGAGTGGTTCTGTTTTTGTAACAGTTATGGACCATAGAGATTTCATAAATTTGGAAGAGGGGAAGTGGAAACTTCCCTGTTAGATCCTTTACCACTCCACCTCGCGTGGCCGTGGGGTAGCATGGAATAGGATGGGATGAATACGGGCTTCCCAGCAGCTACCTCCGGGAGTTTATTTTTAAGGTATTGACGTTTATCGAAGCCACATATGTGTGCAACTTTTGCCGTGGGACAAATTAGTATTGCCAATTGCAGTGGCACCAACACAGAATTCAGCTGAAGAAATATTAAAGGATATAAGCGCGTTTTATTTTTCTTCATCAAGCATACGTTTACACCCGGATATTATTTATTTATTATTTTTCATAGAAAACACTGCGAAATTATGCTCCGAATTTCGCAGGTTTTGGAATCAAACAAAAATAAACTCCTATAAACTCCGAATTTTCGGAAAACAATAAACTCTGAAAAACACCGTTTGAATTTCACGAAGAATAAACTCCGAAAAACACAGAATCCTAGTTATCACTGGGAATGCGCCCCTTTTTTTCTCTGCGCGATTGGTTTGTGCGGTGATACCACACGCGCAATGAATGCCGTGACGATGAACGTTTTGGCGCTGCTTGAACGGCTCATATATCTTGACGTGCGTGACATCACTTCCGTGACCAAGTTTTCGTGACCATCGATTTCTCAACTTCGCACCCCCTTCCAAGCGCAGAGAAAGACGTAGTTCTACGTAAAAAAAAAAAAAGAAAAGCAAGAAAAAGCACAACAACAACGATATATGAACAGTGCGATAGTGCCGGCGGGGGCGCCCGCATCGCAGGTGACGTCGTTGCTGTGACGCTACGCGAGGACGGAGATAGCGACATCACTGTCGCTCTCTTCTACATTAGTGTCGGTTTGAGGAAGCCTGCGGAACTAGACTAATTTGGCCGGTAGCGCCCAAATGCTTACATGTATATTACAGCTTGCGGTTGGAGCATACAGCTTGGAGGCTGCATGGACATCAAATTCGAAATTGCAAAATGCCCTCTAAAGCCCATAATTAAGAAGTTAATTAAGGTATCTTCGTTAATTAGAGCCTACTTGCGCAAACAACCTTGCTTCTAAAGATCGCCAAGTCGGGTAAGCTAATCCCAAATATAAGAGTGTCCTAATGCAATTAACTATTATTTTCTTAGAAATATGATGCAGCTAAAATGACACCCTGTATAACCAGAACATGAATGAAGAAATTTACGTAATATAGAAATATACTCCATACAGAAAGCACTCTTATAATATTAAACTAAAATGTTTGCGAAGAGGCGCTATACAAGAAACACTATAAAATAGGGTTGTGCGAATAGTGGTTCGAAGCGAAAAGCGCAGTGTTATCCATAGCCTTGACAATGCAAGGAAAATCCAAGACGGCCAGTTTTTTTAGCAGTGGAGAAGCCAGGGATGACGCTGCGCTATTCGATTCGAACTATTATTCGCACACAAAGCACCGACCTAAACATGCGATATAAATAGTAATTAGGAAGCGAGTAAAAAAAATTAATAAAGGGTCGAAACAAAAGCAAACGGACGAACAGTAGCCGTTCAAATTTACCCGATTCGATTAAACAAAAACACCACAGGTATTTCGTTTCAGAGTACAAAGGCCGACACAGGTTTCTGTGTCGCCGCAGCGTACCACGAGACACACGCGGCGTTCTGATGCGCTTCTTTTTCCCTCCGGGAGCAGGATTCCTCGAGGCCAGGCGAACTCGACGCAGCTGAGCTCGTACTACAGGGCGTCGAAGCAGGGCAGGACCCTGGGCCAGTGCGACCTCGCCTACGCTGGCTGCCCCATGTCGCTCCACGAGCTGCCCGACCTCGCCAACGTCAGGTGGCTGTGAACGACCTCCGAGACTTCCCCCGTGACACTGCGTCGTATCCCAGTGCAGCGATTCTGGCTCCGATCAACGGAATTGCGTGGAAAGGACACATCCTAGAAGCTTCAGCGGGCATACTTGGGATAGGGATCGCTTTGGGTAACCCAAGCAGCTTCGGGCGTCGCATTGCGCATGCTCGGTGCGACGCCCCAGGCTTCTCGCGGTACCCGAAGAGTTGGTGTCCCCTATTTTAAGACACATCAGTGCCGGCCTACGTTTTGCTAAGAGGGAGCCGCTCCTTCGGGGCCCGGCGTTTGGCTAAGGAATAGTTTTTTTTTTTTGGGGATAATACCAGAGAGAGAGTGAGAGAGAAGGGTTTATTAAGGAAGGACAGAGAGATTAACCTGAACGTAGGTTCTGGTTGGCTACTCTGTACTGGGGAGAAGGGGAAGGGGGAAGAAAAGGTACGACGATGGATCCATCTGAATCTTGGGGGTTAGTCTATATAAATCACGAAGTTACAGTACAATGAAACAACTTGAGAAAGAGTCTCGTGAAAACTTAAGTGACAGCCTAAAAAAAATAAAAAAAAAATACCGGAGACGACGGACGAAAGAAGGGGACAAACATAAAACTTCTCAAATTGAGACTTTCGTGTTTGTCCCTTTTGTTCGTCTGCCGTCTCCGATATTTCAAAAATGTCTAGCATAAATCAGCTCGCTTGTCTACTCGCTCAATTTTTGAGGGTAACCACCTACGTTTCCCCAAAAGACATTCGCTTCCCCAGTGCCCAGCGTTTAGGTAAAAGTCAGCTTCTTCAGGGTCTCATTCCAGAAGCCATATGCTATGCGAAGGGAGTACAAGTAAGCCCCGAAGGTAAAGACCATTCCAAAAACTGCCTCATGCGTACTTCCGCCTTTGTCTTTTGGGCTATGGGACGCGTTTTGATATTCAGCTTTTTTCTGCTCATTATCAGACGCCACGTATGCGTCCACAACCCATGGAGTGCGTTCCAGTCGTCAATTGCCAATGGTATAAGGTTGACATTTGATGAATGAGGGTTGATGTTGAAATCGGACGGAGCTTCCAAGAATTCTCGAAACGAGGAAATGTACGATGAGGCAAACATTGTCTCAGATGATTGTTGCGATAAAATATCTGATGGAGGAGAGAGAGAGAGAGAGAGACGAGACACTCTGCGGCGGTGAGAAAGTGTGTCCAGGTTAGCTGATTGCCGAAATCCTGTTTTACTAGCAGATGGGGAGTAGTCAGAATAAATAAAACGAAGGGCTCTGCTTTGAACGAAATCCAGGCTGTTAGATATGCCTGCCACGGTGATCATATGGAGCTTGCTAAGAGGTATGTTTGGGCTAATTGGCTGATGGTCATTTTTGTTTAAACAGCGCGACAAGGACAAGGACAAAGTAAAGACGAAACAGACGACAGCGCTGACTATCAACTAAAGGTTTATTACCACTGCTCCCAGTACATATACACGTGGGAAACAGCCAAATAAACAGAGTGCAAAACAAAACACAAAAATGCATGGAGTCTAAGCATCTTATTAGTTAGATTATAAAGTGCTGTGTCATAGTCCGTCCGTAACATGCACCAGTAAGAAAACAAATATCTTTATCGGACAAACCAACGGAGGCCGTGCTGATACATTTGTCTTTTAGTTTGTGTATTTTGTAAGCTTCTATTATCCCTCGAGTTAGTTTGTCACCGCCCCTTTCAATATTTCGCTTTTTTTGGTAGTCAGGGGTGCATCCACAGTTACGGCAGTGAATCCCCAGATGACCGGAGATTTGTTTTGTTACATTATACGAATGTTCCCTTAATCCGTCATTAATGCACCGTCCGGTTTGTCCGATGTAGAACCTGTCACACGACAAAGGAATGCGGAGGGCAAGTTCGTCTGCTCCTTGCGCAGGGGGTAGCGGTGACCTGAGAACGCCGAGCCCTGATTGGCTGATCGCGACCCCCTATCTGAGCGTCGTCTGCTCCTTTGCAACGTCGTCTGCTCGCAACGTCGTCTGCGTCTGTCTTACCTTTCCTGCGACTTTCGGTCAGATTCACGAAAATATCTTACGCCAAACATGTGCGTAAGACAAAACTTTAAAAAATTCGTATTCACGAAACGAAATTTTCGTAGTTTTGCGCAGGTTACGACGAAATCTTACGACAGCTTCGAAGCTGTCTTACGCACTTCTTACGATCAAATCAGCATGGCCGACAGCGTCGCGGTCGCGACGACCCACGGACGTTTATTCTTCTACATGCGCTTCTCACGCGTCCCGACTTCAAGCGGGAAGAAAAAAGTAAAAAGTACTTGAAAGAGACCACGACGAACAGGAACGATGGATCCACAAACACCCGGGAAAAGCTCCAACGGCCACGATTCCACCGAACGCGACCAAGCGAACACGGCAGTTAGGCCTAGCAGGCACTCCGCGACTTGGCGACCGTCTGCCCACGATCGGCTGGCGTGCTGAATGGAATATGCCCGCGCGACCCTTGTGAACCCTTCCCGTATTATACTTTGATCGCTGATCTCAATTTTAGATTAAGAGGTCAATTTCTTCCTCTTGTTATCTCCTTGTTTCCCGAGGCAACGGTGACTCTCGCCGGTGAAAAAGCGGTGAATCGCCGACAGACGCAGGAAAGGTAAAGCAGCCATCGCTTTGACTAGCAGACGTAAAGCAGACGACGTTAACTGCGCCAACCTGCCGACGCCGTTGAAGAGTGAGGAGTCTCGCCGCACACAAAAGAAGGGAAAAAGTATTTGAGAGGGAACTTGCGGACGCTCACTCTCGGTTCTTAGCAAACAAACCTCGGCGCCTCGGGACACCTTGCCAGTGAGTCCTTTGATTTCTCTCCTTGATGCGCGTCTGCTCGTTGTTAGACAAAAACAACGTACCGCTCGAGTTATTTCGCCTGCCCTCTCTAAAAGACGAAGTCGAGCTCGCTCGTAAAGACCTGCACTTCCGAAATTCGCAGGAGAGGTAAGACAGACGCAGACGACGTTGCGAGCAGACGACGTTGCAAAGGAGCAGACGACGCTCAGATAGGGGTCGCGATCAGCCAATCAGGGCTCGGCATTCTGACGTCACCGCTACTTCCTTTCTCATGCGCAGAAGACGAAAATGAGCCCACTTGCGAGGCGTATAGAATACACGACGCATTCTCGACAGCTAACGAAAGACTGCCGGTGCTTTCTCGTGCAATGTTCCTTCTCTTCCCCCATCTTATTCACCTTCCTGCAGAGGGCAGACAAACGCTTTAGAGCAAAACAAGCTACCTCAACTTCTGCCCTTTTTCCTATTCTCTTTAAATTGTGTGAAATCTAGCGCAAGTACGGAATGACGGACACTTTTTTGCTACGGGCTCTCGGGCATTCGTCACTTGTTGGACGCTTTCTCAAGTTTTTCGGCAATTTTTCGGCCACTGAAGTTAGAATCTTTTGTGGGTAGCCGACATTGGCAAGTATGTCTACTTGTTATGAGAAGCTATTCGACATGTGATGGTGACACGATCTAAAAAGGGCAGAATTAAAGCATGAATTCACAATTCCTCTCTTCACAACCTTAGAATGTGCAGAGCCGAACGAGAGGATCGGCTTGTTACTTCTGGCCTCAAAGGCCCAGCATACATGCTCGTCTGATAAGTACAGGCCTATAGCTTTAAAAATATGATAAATTGTGGAATTCCTGTCCCGAGTCATAAACTTCTTTATCTTGCTGCATAATAGGCTGAACCGACCGTGATCTCAACAGTTTAAAATATCTGATCAACAATTAGCAATTCAGAAACAGTTTTACTCCGAAAGCTATTTGTGTTCATCTTTGTTAAAAACTAGATAATTTTGCCGCAATTTCATTATTCTCCATTCTGGCGCGTGATGATAAAACCTTCTTTCAACTATGGACTCTGTAGGTCCGGGGACTCCAGAAAAGGAAGGAAACCTTAATTAAAGATGATTCATTTCGTCATTCTTTGTAAGAAAACTAAAATCGTTCGGCCGCTTGTAACAATTATCACTCTTCATGAATACTATTCGAATAAACCCGCCTGCTGATATTGAAATGTAAAGTTCAGTATGCTATAAATATAAATTACAGATTGTAATTTTTTATTACAGTGCCTCATTACACAATCAATGAAGCGATTAAAAAAACTATTCACATGAACTGCCTATCAAACTGTCAGATAAGGTGACACTTCACCAACAACAGATCATAAAAGAACCCTGGATCTTTAAGGCTTGTTTTTACTTATTGTTCGTGAATATTTGTTAAGCTGCATTTCTTCAGCGTCTGATTTGCCTAACTTTGAATAATTTACGTGCTCACGAAACTGTCATATTTTATGAGATAAGAAGCAAAAACTTATCAAGTTACACTGCGTATCTTTTTTTTACTGCCTTCTTCTCCATGACTATGGGGCTGATGAATTTGAATGAAAAAATCATTATGATTGAATGCATATATCATCAAATAAACATTTGTACTCACTGCTGAATTCTCTCTCGATTTTAGCTGTTTCTTTCAAGTACTCGGATGTTTTCCGGGCACAGTCAGTGATCAAATCATTCATCTGTAATAAAGAATATTTGCTTTGCGAATTTTGCATAAAATCCTTCCGGTTTATAAATTACAATAGGCCTAGGCATACGTATATTAAAATATTATAGCGGGCTAGGCGAGAAAAAAGAATGGTGCAAAGAAGAGAACAAAGTGTTCTACTAGTCAGAATTGGGAAGATTTTTATACTGAAGAACGAACAAATTCAGGCAACAACATTCTGCGTGCACTACAATTACAGTTGTGAAATCCTTTCTGGTGGCTTAGGACGCAGGAAAAACTAAAAATAAATACATCTGGTGTAGATGTGGCCGCGCTTACCCAGGTAGCACAAAACGCATCGTTTCTTCAGATCTCGACTACTTTCGAGTGTCGACCATGGAGTGCATGTAAAATAAGTTGAGGTCTGCCAGATGCAGTCGGTAATGAGTTAGTGTGGTGCGAGTGAGCCCGCCAAACGTGTCCATGTAATGCCGGTGTGAGGTATAGCGCTTGAGCATTCGCAAGACGCGACTACGAAAGCAGCGCCGTAGTGCCCGATTTTGTACAAGTCCCGGTGACGTACAAGCGACTTGCAGCGTACATCTGTCCTCGCGTCATAGCAAAGCGCTTGAAAAAGAAAAAACAACAACAACAACAACAACAACAAACGTGTAGCTTGAGGTTTTATCGCGTTATCAAGATAAGAAAATATTTCTTTCAT